CTGTGACATATTGAGTGGGTTCACTGACAAAGGAATGGAACGATCTCACCTGATTTATTCACCATCTTGGAAGTTTTTAAGCTTACAGCCTGAACACTTGAGGGCGCACTTTAGATACATAATAATGAGCTAAACAGGTGGATTGTGAGAGGAGGCAAGTAACCAACATTTCCTCCCCACTAAAACTGTATCTGCCAATGAAGGTTCAGTTTCATTAAAGTCCACATTTCAAGTTTCAAATGTCCAGTTCAGCTGTTGGAATTGTATACTGAACTTAGCTGGTTTCATTTGAGTGCTTATGAGGATAGGGAATGTTATCTTTCTTTTGTTTTTGCTTCATCGTCAAACGCTGAGTATTATGGAATCTCAACATGAGTTTCCTAAAATTTTATTTTTTTTTAAACTCCACTTAAAGTAGGGTGGCTATCAAAGCCTGTGGGGTGTAAGAGTTTAGAGATCCAGTCTGTCTGGTGGTTTGCATTTCCTCTGTGGGTAGCGACGTTTGTTGCTAGGTGGCTCTGACGTTGGGTCCGTGGAAGTAGTCAGTGGATCTGCTTCAGAATGGATGACTGCCGGAGTCTGCGTGGATTGAGTAGGGGTTGGAGAATCCGGTGTCTTCTGGTCAGTGGTGTCTGGAACAATCTGGGGTACTGGGTCTTGCTGGATCATCTCAGGCTGCTGGTTGAAGATGTGTGGTTTCCCAGTATTGGCATCAAGAAGCTGATCAATGTTTCTGCACCAGATGGAGTCTGGGCCCAGTTTGGCAATGGATTACACCTGGGATCCACTTCTGGCTATCTCGGTAGTTACGAACCAGCACATGTTGGCCCTTGCGCAGGTTTCTGGTTGGCTTCACAGATTTGTGACAGGTGGATTGCTCAAGCTGTTCGTGAGCAACACGCTGACGTATGTCCGGTTTTATGATGTCCAGTCTCGATCGGAGGTGTCGTCCCATGAGTAGGTAGGCTGGAGAATGACCAGTAGTGGCATGTGGTGCATTCCGATAAGCAAGAAGAAAGCCGCACAAATTCTGCTTTACTCATCCTTTCTCCCCTTCCATTGAATTCAGTCCATTTTTGAAGGTTTGAACAAAATGCTCTGCAAGCCCGTTTGTTGATGGACGATAAGGGGATGAACCCCGTTGCGTTTCAAGAAGGTTTGAAATTCCTCCGATATGAACCGAGGGTCATTATCACTCACAAGTTGTTTCGGGATACCATGTTGTGAGAATATGCCCCTGAGCATGTCAATGGTCTGGCTGGATGTTGTGGTGGTAGTTGGGATGACTTCAGGCCATTTTGAGTATGCATCAACAACTACCAGGAACATCTGTCCCATGCACGGACCTGCGTAGTCGATGTGAATTCTTTGCCAAGGTTTAACAAGCCATTCCCAGGTATGTAGTGGGGCTTGAGCGGGGTTGTGTTGTACTTTCTGACACCAGGAACATTCCTTGGCCAACTCTTCAAAGTCGTGGTCAATTCTGGGCCACCAAACAAATCCTCAAGAGTTTTCATCTTGACAGCACCCAGATGACCCTCATGGAGCTCTCTCAGGACTTGTGTGCGCAACTTATCAGGAATTATTATGCGAAGTCCTCACATCAAGCAACCATCATGTACAGTGATTTCATTTCTGCGGCTATGGTAGGCTGCCAAGGTTGGGTCAGTGTCTGTTGACCATCCCTTCATGGCGTTCTCTTGTACGGCTTTGAGTGTTTTGTCCTGTAACTTCCCTGCGGATGTCACTGCTGGAGACTGGCAGTGTGTCAGGTTGTGACATGTGGAGGATATCAACAGGAACTGCTGGTTCTGATGCAGTCTGGCTCATGGGCAATCTTGATAATCCATCAGCATTGCTGTGTTTTGCAGTGTTTTTGTATTCAATGCTGTAATCATGACTGCCAAGGAAGACTGCATATCTCACTAGACGTACTTTTCACAGGATTGAAGATAGAGGTCAGGGGTTGATGGTCCGTCACCAGGGTGAACTTTTGTCCTGATAGGTACAGGTTAAACTTCTTCACCCCCCACACCAATGTGAGTGCCTCTTTGTCAATTTGGGAGTACTTGCATTCAGCCGATGTCAAGGTACGTGATGCATAGGCTACCGGGTGTTTGGTACCATCAGGCATGACATGTGACATGACAGCGCCAAGACTGTAGGGTGAGGCGTCACATGCCAGCTTCACATGTAGGCTTGGATCATAGTGTGTCAAAAATTCATCTGATGTGATCAAGGACTTGGCTTTCTCAAATGCCTTCTCACAAGTAGGAGTCCACACCCACTTCTAGCTCTTCTGGAGAAGCTCATTCAGTGGATGCAGTTCAATTGCCAAATTACATGTAGGTAGGAAACGGTGATAGTAGTTCACCAAGCCCAGGAATGAGCGCAGTCGGCTCACTCTGGTAGGATGCAGGGCATCTTTCACCCCTTTGATCTTGTCTCGGGTTTTCTTCAAACCTTCACAGGTGGAGATATCGTGGCCACAGAAGATCACTTTGTTCTTGAAGAACACACACTTTGCTTTGTTCAAGCGCAGGCCACGGTGCTTGAGCACTTCAAGGACCCTCCTCAGATTGCTGAGATGTCCCTCATCAGTATGGCCTGTGATAATCATGTCATCTAGGATACACTGGACTCCAGGTATGCCTTGAAGCAGTTGCTCCATGGTTCTCTGCCAGATTGCTGGTGCAGAGGCTACTCCAAATGATAGGCGGTTGAAGGTAAACAGACCTTTGTGGGTGTTTATGGTGAGTAATTTTCTGGATTCCGAGTCCATCACCATGTGCAAGTATGCTTGCCGTAAATCAAGTTTGCTATACTTCTGCCCACCTGCGAGAGTGGCAAGCACATCTTCCACTCTGGGTAATCAGTAGTGATCGATGTTCAGGTTTGGATTCACCGTCACCTTAAAATCACCACAAATGCCTACCCCTCCATTCAGTTTTGCCACTGGAACAATTGGGGTTACCCATTCACTGTGCTCTACAGGGGAGATTATATTTTGTTCCTGCAGTTTTCTCAGTTCGGCTTCCACCTTTGGGCGTAAGGCATAAGGTACCTGCCTGGCTTTCATAAATACCGGCTGGGCATTCTCCTTCAGGTTGAGTTTCCCATTGATACCCGTCAATTCACCAATTTCCTCCTTGAAAAGCTCTGGGTATTCGTTCAACAGGGATTTCAGCTTGGCCTCAGTCGTGCCTGTAGTTGGGGGCACAGCCGTCGATATAGCCAATAATTTTGGCCAGTCCAATTTAATGTGGGCTAGCCAGTCACGGCCAAGCAACGGGGTACCACCACCATCAATGATGTAGATCTTCCCAGTGCACCGCTGTTTGTCGTACTCAACATTCACCTCCAAGAACCCTGCCGGTGAGACTTTCTCTCCCGTGTAAGTCTGCAGTTTCATCTTGGTTGGATGTAACTTGTCTCCCTGGAAGAATTTCTGGTAGTCAGCCATGGATAGTATTGTGATGGCTGACCCTGTGTAAACTTCCATTTTTACTGGCTGGTTGTTGATGGAGAGTGTGACCCAGACAGCAGTGCTAATGTCATATTTGTTTCCATCTACGTTATGTACTCTCATTCTGGCTATCAAAATGTCCTCGTCTTAATCATCTGTGTGTGGAATTTCTTCCATAACTTTGACTTTTCCCTTGCGCCGAGGCTGAGGTTGTCTGGGCTTTGACTGAGAATTGGGCTTCATCTGCAGTTTGGGGTTTGGGGACGAGATGTGCTGTCAAAATCTGAATCGGTTCAGCATATGACTTGGATGATGGCTTGGCTGGAGTAGAGAGGTTCTTGAGCAGTCCGAATGTTTTACATCCAATGAGGCTGATAAGTGCTGAAACTTTTCGTTCATTAACAATTCTATTGGCTTCAAAATACTGCTCGAGACGCTCCACATATGTGGGCCAGTCCTCCTCTTCGCTGTTAAATGGGTCAATGCGACCAATGAGTCCCGACGCCATAATGTTCACCGACTATACACGTGTGTATGTTCACGTATTAGCATGCACAATATTTAACTAAGGGTTGGAGCACGAGAAAAACGGTCCCCAAATCACTCCAAAAACAGCTCAGATATCAATGCAATATGCCAAATATTCACTTGTACAGGTGAGCAAATATATCCTTTGTTATTCTATATGGCTATTTAAACATCCTCGTCGTCACTTTGTGAGATATTGAGTGGGTTCAATGACAAAGGAATGGAATGATCTCACCTGATTTATTCGCCATCTTGGAAGTTTTTAAGCTTACAGCTTGAACACTTGAGGGCGCACTTTAGATACAACATAATGAGCTGAAAGGGTGGATTGTGAGAGGCGGCAAGTATCCAACAGTTACAAATACATATAGATTCATTCAAACACACACACATACATACTTACATACTTAGTGTGGACATTCCTTTCTTTTCGTGCTGTTAAGAAAACCCAGTGAAAATACTTGTTTTCTTGAACTGGGAAGACGATTTTCAGCTGGCTTTTTGTACAAGGTTTCCTTGACTATTCCTCTTCCTTTTACGATGATGACCCCAACCCCAAAATGCCTCTAAACTTCTTTTTCAGAGAAGGGGAAATGTCCTGTGGACATGTGTAAGTCCACAGAACGTCTTCCTTTCCTGCATCATTTGGACATCTTTTGTTCACTTGTCCACACTAGGTATGTAAGGTTAGCACATGACAGATGCTAGTTGAACGTACCTAATGTGGTGTGCAGTAATTAGCGTCCTCAGAGATCACCACAACTGCTGGTGTCTGGAGTTGCACATGTTCACTGCCAGTGAAGATCTTGAGAAAATCACAGTTGTAACAAAATTATGGTATCGAGATGACAAATAATTCATCAACAGGCACGATGGTCAGGAATTCACCATTTGGGCAAATTGAACATGATAAACTGCTGGGTGAATTAATCAAAAAGGCAATGGAGAAATACCTGTATGTGGCTGATACCATTCACAGCCGGGGAGCTTTATCCCAATGTTTAAGCCTTCCTCCACTTGTTTCTAGTTAAGGAGTATAGGGCCAAGTATCCGGAGGTATGACTAGTCCACGTTTTCTAGACTTTCCTCATGCATCCCTGCCAAACCTCTTTGCTGAAAAACAAATTCATTCAGTTACAGTCAATAACGATATTATAACCTTTAAAATACAAGCTACTGATCACCTCAGAGAACAATTTTGGTGTCATGAAATTTAAAAACCCAAAATTAAAAACGTTATCCGGGATATCCGGGGGCATAACTAAACATCTGCTTGATTTTATGAGCTGAAATTGCACTGGTGTTTTCACTACTTACAGGGGTAAACTATCCCCTAGGTTACTAATTGCAGAAAACTTGCCTTTTCCTCGTTTGGAGGAAAAAATGTTGTCTTTTTTGTTGCCGTTTTCCCACTGCAGACAAATTCTGCCACACTTGCACGAAACTGACTTTTGCCTTCTCATCTGAGGTAATTAATGATGCATCCAAGTGCCTGGCCTTCCCAAATTACAAGGCCAGGCATCTCATGCACATGTCAGTAAATTTATATGAACAGTACATGCAATTTTAGAATTCTGGAAGTGAAATATGTGTACTTTAATACAGGTATGCTGAAGTGTGTCAAAACTTGCTTGGAAGATTTTTATTCATGCTGCAGCCAAGTGCCTGCCTTCCAGGGTTGACAAGACCAAGTTGACTTGGGACCAAGATTTTTATTTATGCTGCAGCCAAGTGCCTGCCTTCAAGAGTTGATGAGACCAAGTTGACATGTGACCAAGTTGACCTGAGACGGAGTTGACTCGGAGCGAGTTGATTCCAGACCAAGTTGGCCACTTCACACTGAGGAGTATACAGTGTGTTTACATTGCCATGTTTTGCTGGACCATTTCCGAATCTTTAAATGAAAAGGCAATTCGTAGAGTCTAAGTTACTCAGACTATTATTAACTGATCTACACCATCCTGATGCAGTCATGTCAAATATCATTTCAAAAATTCAAATATGCACAGCATACCAAATGAAGATGGGCTAGTGCTCAGAAAAAAATTATTTTTGACCTTGTCGGGCTTATGTCATATGGGATGGCCTAGTGTTACAGCTGCACATGTGCACATCATCAAATCCAACGACTTGCTTGAGAGGGATAAACAATTTGCAAGATCTAAGTCATGTAGGGCCTAAGTTGGCAAGTTACTCACGTCATTTTCACAGAAATGGGCCATGTAAATGTACTGTAGGCATGCCCAGTGTTGATCCTACTCCGTCCTAGTCCCATGCTAGGCCAACTCCTACTAGTCCTAGGATTAGTCTCAACATGGTCTTATCCTTCCCCCGTAGTCTCAAGGACTAGGCCTATGAATTTTATTTCTGTTAAGTGTGGAATAATAAACGCAAAATACATTATACTTACACCATATCACGTACGTATGCCAGCGATTCCTGACACTAGTCACATACAGATATGCGCTCATCAGTATCACGTGTACCACCGCACTCACGTGTTGTGATGTTGACAAGAATTTATCGATAAAATCAGTGCTCTGAATTGAAATATGTGATTGCCGAGCTTTCGGTAACTGAGTACCTTCGTCAGGGCAAGCAGATTCAGTTCTGAAAGAACGCGGAAAAATCCACGCTCATTCCATCTGGATGCAGCGTTCCAAGTTCGAAAACAACGCGCTAACTAATTGATTCCGGCATGCACTGTATTATGGTCTACTCTACGAATCAACGGTCCAGTATCGCCCAATGTCCACATGACCGGTTATGGAGGAATTGCTCCAGTTTTCCGGAAATAGCCGAAATATTCCGAAGTCGTCAAGTCTATATTCGGCATGTTCGGATGGTGGGTAGGCGAACTGTTGAACGTAAACTCTCGTATCCTAATGGCAGCTGTTAAATCTATGATCTACAGTTTTTGATTTTACATTGAAGTCGAAGGTCGCCTCAGTGATCTCCTCAGAGAAGAATCTAGGAAGAGTCAGCAGGACCTGACGACTGGCGATGCACTGTGAAATCGAAAACACCCGGGCTCGACTTGTGACCCCAGACCCTTAGGTCATATCTATTCACATCATATCCGTGGACGATACCTACCGATACCACTGATCTCTACTACCAGTGATACCTACAGTACCTGACCAAAGATTTTTTATCAAGAGTAGTCAGGGAATCTTTGGGCAGGGAACCAGACTAGTAACCACCTGTCTTTCTTTCGCCGATTGGAGGTGCAGTTCAGCTCGGGACAGATTGCCTCGCGGCCTCAGCGATTTATAAAAACAACACAAAGTTTGCACCAGACAAGGCGATGATCAGTAGTACAGGTGAGGGGATGTCTTCAAGGGTCCAAGATAATTTATGATCAATCCAGCAGCGCACCCAGGTTTTGGTGTGTGGGGGGGGGGCGAATTCGAAAGCGTATGCGGCTTGGGGCTGATTCAACATGATGTTGGGGATGAAAAAAATCTTCCTTGCTTTTACTGGTGGTGTTTTCTTGGTCTGATAAATACACCGATTACCGTTTCTTTTCTACTCACCTATGAAGTATTTTGTGTATTAAAATTCGTTAGGGGAAGCCCCTTCCCCGCTGGATACGGCCACTGGATCAGTCCAAGTGAAGAATGTGTAAAGACGGGAGCATCGTTTAACAAATAACAAGGCAATCAACTAAACAGTTATTTCTTCAGCACACTGCTCCCAAGCAAGCAGTAAAAATTTGTACATTTTCAATTTTTTTTAGGGGTCGCTATAACGTCAACCAAGCACTGTTGTTCATCAATCAATACCGCTGATGTAAGTGTTATAGCGTTCTTTCAAATTAGTACCGAAGAATTTTCCTATCAAATCCTTGTTTATAACCGGCGGCAATTATAGTTGTTTGGGTGGTTGTTTATAGATGTTAAAATAGGGCTCTTGTTTAGCGTGTCTGGGAGGGCTCAACATTGAAGCGGGCAATACATGTATAGTTTATTTCACTTTGTGGGTAGACGAGATTGAGGTGTGCCTCTGATCGCAAATTAAAAGCAAACAATAACAAGGTATACATGCGGGTATGGAAAAAAAAACCATGCAAAGCCCAATATGTTGCAGTCTGTTAACTTGTTTCCGATCGCTCTCAGCTTCGTTGGCGAGTAGTTAATTCCTTTTCCCAGTTTTGCTTTAGAAAAGCTTTGAGAATAAACCAGTTGAATCAAATGTGATCCATCCACAGAATGTTTTGTATTTATCTGGTAAACAAATGAATTAAGTTGTGGGTGTAAGGATGTAATTACATAATCAAGTTTCAGGTTGTTATGTAATAAAGCGCAATATCAATGAAAGATATTAAATGCACTATTACTGTGGCAGAAAGCCACATATCGTCCAGGTAAATATAAAAAGTTTAATTTCAGCAGTTTTAATAACTCATGTTGGGGAATACACATTTTACGGACGATGAAGAAAAACCGTCGTGGACACTGTGCTGATTTTCAAGAAAATGTTATTAACAACGAAACGTATATACGGACATGCAGATATACAATTAAGGAAAAAATCCAGAGAGACCTGCAACTCTTAATTGGTGTCTCGATCCACAAATTTAATATATAAGCTTTATCTGGACCGGTCACCTCGAATCATTCCGCATGTTCCTGACGAGGACAGTCAATCAAAAAACAATCTGCCTGCTAGCTCAGGGTGTGGACCATGATTTAGCCAGGTTCCACACAAGTGCGCCTCCTATATAAGATAAATATCACAATGGCCACTCGCGGTCAGGCGACTGTTTCGTAGCTCCTGAGAGATTCAGTGATGGAGACCTTCCCTTATTTCTTTAGACACTGATCGCCATTTTGTACTGGCGGCCAAGGTTTTCCAGAAATTGCACCCTCAGTTGGGATCCATTTTCAGCTAACATTATGAAGTATTTACGATCTACATTTTCTAATATTCTGGCAAGACTTTTTCGGATTGGTTCAGTCCAGCTCAGTCCATCGATCGACTGAACAATCAATCAAAAATGAAATCTATCGATCGGTCGACCAATTCATAGATAGATCATTAGAAAGAAAGATAGGTAGACTAGCCAATCAATTCAACAACAACAACAACAACAACAACAACAACAACAACAACAACAACAACAACAACAACAACAACAACAACAACAACAACAACAACAACAACAACAACAACAACAACAACAACAACAACAACAACAACAACAACAACAACAACAACAACAAAAACAACAACANAACAACAACAACAACAACAACAACAACAACAACAACAACAACAACAACAACAACAACAACAACAACAACAACAACAACAACAACAACAACAACAACAACAACAACAACAACAACAACAACAACATTTTATCCACGACCTGGATCAACTACCCTCTGCGGGGCGGGAATTGTGACGAACGGATCCGGCAGGAGAGCTACCGAAAGTGACTGCAGCTTTAATGTTCGAAAATGATGTACCATCTGGCACACTGAAAATGGAATCGAATTGCCGACAGCAGACTCCAGTGATTAGGTTTATCGCAACGGGGTTATTCGAGTTTTTTTTTTCACCATGTCTGGCTGTTATTACAGGTAAATTGAACTGGAATGATCCTTTGCATCACGAGGCACAATCACGGGGCAAGAACTTCACAGACGACTCTTCCCACGTCAAGTGCAATCGTACAGGCGACCTCGAGCTAAAAAGGCCGCTCTGTAATCGTCGCATGTCTCTACTTGGTTTTGTTATGATTGCCAGTATCAGATATCCATAACTGAAACCAATTCACCTTAGAGATGCTGGTTTCTTTCTTTCCTTTTTTTTTTACAGACAAAGCAGACATTTTCTGCTGGGTCACAATTCAGTCACTGTGTCAGCTTACTTCATTTTTTAGACTCAATTCCAGACTCTGCAAGTGGTTGACATGTTGGTCCTGTTTTCGTGGCAGAAAACAGCTGTCGGTAAACCGCCGAGGTACGGACTGCTCTCGTGCATATTTTATAGCTGCAGGGTTGTAGACGGGAATTAACCGACGCGGGCGAATATAATGCTCATATGGCCGCCATTAATTAAGTCTATAAAAAGTCACTAGAACAGCTGCATCCGCAAATGTTTAGTTACGACTTGGGATCGTGGGCTTTCATATCCTAATTTCATTTTCTGGTTTGACGAATTAAAGCGTTCAAGTTTAATGTGTCGGTATTTTACCAAGTGGTAACGATGAAAACAATGGCAGCTATTTTTCAATGTAAGTTAAACTATCGACAGCCAACAATTTTGAGATTTCTTCCTCAAGGGGGATTTACTTGACCTGTATTTAGAAACATAAGTGGTGAGAACAGCGTGCACTATATTGCAATTTTTTTCACCAACTTTCTTCGTGTTTTCTCGGAGCCTCTGTACATAGCTGGAAGCAGTTCCACGGACAGGCCTTTAGCCGCTGCTTTGAACGAGATACCAATTACTTCCTTAAACAGTTTTGGCAGTTTGAGATAGTGGACAAGTACATTACATTGTAATCCTTTTCTTATTTTGGTATCTGAGGTAATTTCGTTATAAGTAGAAGCAGTTCAAGACCTTCAAATCTCAGTGCGGTCTTTGAATTTTTACGGAGAAATTGACCACTAAGTTTTCTGGGATTTATCAATAAGAAAATTGATTGCTTTTAAACTTACCACTGTGTTCATTTTATTATGTTGGCCTGATTATACATGTTTATGACGAAAACAATAATTTTTAATACAAAATCGTTGGGTACAGTGACGATATAAATTTGTTATCAGCACCGTCAATTAAAGAAAGTGAAGATTCAGGTATAACGTGAACTCGGTTATCTCAGTATAACCCGTCAGTCAACACTTAATCGCAAACCAGCGGAGTCTCAAGAGGTTAACTTGAACCTGCAGACTCGTCCTGTGGTGACGTGAGCGTGCATTTGGCGTGAACATTACTATCAGCATAAGCCGACATTCAAATATTGGAATGCTGGATGGCAAATTTCACTCAATAATCAGGGCATTTTAATGCAAAACGAAGAAGCTCGAAACAGTGGTGCACTCGGAGGGGCCCCATGGGGGCTTGAACCCCCCTCCCCCAAAGAGTTCATTTCTGTTTACTCTTTGAAAAATCGAAGATACACTACACAACTTTCTTTATTACTTGCTCTTACACTGTAAAAACTATGGTGTTAAAATCAACAGTTTTGGGTGTTATCAGATGACCACACCATAGGGTGATACTTTAACACCGCTAGTATTACTTGCAGACCGGTAAGCGTTACAGAGCACTGGAGGGTGTTAAGAGTAGGCCTAACACCAAGTAACACCCAAATTTTTAACTCAAGTGAAAAGTGTTGGTACAGTCCTCTGATAACACCATGGGTGTTAAATTCAACACCCCAGCTTTTGCAGTGTATACATCTGTACATTCCAGTCTCTATAGTGGAGCGACCAGGGAGGGGAACTCGAGTGATATGAGCATTTGGGGGTAAATTCCAGTCCAAGCCCCCACGGCATATCGCTGGTGCGCCACAGAATCGAAACCTATATAAACATCATGGCTTCTACAGGGCTATTCCAGGCTTTGGGGAAGCACTCATCAACAGGGGTCAACTCAAGGGTATTTCAAAGAAAATTGGCGATTTTCTTCCCCTTTCCTTATGTCATAACCCCCCTTTTTATTCCTACCTTTTTAATTCTAATTTCTTTCCAAGGGGCCAAGTTCCCCTTGCGCGCCCCACCCCGAGACGCCTGTGAATATCATAAATCTGTTCAGAGTCCAAGCCACGCGAAAATGTTCACCCTAGGGAAATTCTCTGCCGAGGCTACAAATGCTCTGCCGGAGCGGATAACATCTCCCCAGCCGGCTCCAGTCGGTCATCATCCGGCCCGTCCCAGGCCAATTCCGACTGTCGCCTCTGTCCTTCGGTCGCTGCTGCAGCGATAAACTCGTCGGATGCTATCAACAACACTTACAACATCCCCAACACTCGATTTCCCACAAAATGGCCGCGGGCATTGTATAGTAATATAATTTTTATCATCATTTCCTATCACGGTTAAGAGGAAACTAACGTCTGATTTCCCAGGACCGAGAGAAACGAGGGAAAAAAACAAACAGTCGGTCAGAAGGAACCCATTTGCAGAGGACATTATAAGCCTTTTTTCAAATCCGCAGGGTAGGCTAGGCAAAAAACAAATGCATTTAGACCTATCCGTAAATATTCCAGAAAGCTTTTTGAATGTCACATGCGAAATCAAGAGATTGGTTTTGAATGTATAAAAATTACGACTACAGTATCTTGGCCGGTACAACCTTATAGCATAAAAAGGAAGGACTCTTTCTTTTCTGAGCGGCAGTACAAAGTCTTTAGTATAGTAAGTCTTTTATTTCAAGAATTCCATTAAAAATTTTCCGTTGCATATAAGAAAAACATTCTCCATTTTTGAAAAGAATTTATTCGAGTGTTGAATGATAACCAGGAAATATATCAACCCTACCCTACTTTCGTGCTTGGAAGGAAAAGAAGTTGGCCAGAGGTTTCTACTGTCTCTTTTTTTTATACTAAAAGATTATTCCTGATGTTGGATGCCACATTCTGCTTAAAATTTAGCATTCTTTACAGCCTTAATTAAAGATTAGCAGTGTGTAGTCTATTTTAATTTTGTTTTATTTATTATTTATTTATTTTTTTTATCTCTTATTGGTTTTAAGGAGCATTGTGATAAAATGTTTGCAATGGCAGCGTTGCTTCTCTTAGTTCATGTCACCATCTGGTGGTTTCCTAAAGTGAGCTGTCTTGTCTTTGGAAGGAAGTCTGTGTCCGGGGAGGCAGACCCATCCGTTGGGGAGGCCTCTGATATTCGGATTAACCCAGAAATGCTCTCCCCCGCGAAGGTGGGGATTGACACGGTTGATTAAGATTAGCTCCCGGGCAGTAGAGTTTCCAGCTTTTGGTGTGTGTGTGTGGGGGGGGGGGGCTAATTCAAAAGCGAACACAGCTTCGGGCTCATTTGACATGATGTTGGGAGAGAAAAATCACCAAAACCTTATTCACGATAATGAAATTCTAGCGTTTATTTCATGGTGTTGTTTTCTTAGGGTTTTGGTGCTAATATTGGGTACATAAATTAACAAAAAAATGATAAATAAATAAAATGAAAAAAAGGGAAAAATCCGTCGGGGGAGGGGCAAGTGCCCCCTGCCCCCCCCCCCGGATACGCTCCCACAGGGCTATACTGGGTCTGCAACCCGAATCGGAGGACCAGGCGTCCCGAGACCGTCAGAGATCATATCATGCTAATAGACACACGACCTCTATACCTGAGTTGATTTTTAGGGAGGACCGGATCATTTCTCTTTAAAAAATACCATTATTGATTCAGAACATACCTTCTGATATGTGATGTGATCTGCGAAACCCTTCACATGGTGAACATTGTCATTTAGGTGCATATCAACTTCAAATTAATGTGGACACACTCTTGTGGTCTGATATATTTATGCACCAAAATGACAAAGCTCACCGCAATGGTTTTCGCAGATCACACCACATAATCCTCCTTAGAACATTACACAAGCTCAATTTTTGACCTCTTCTGTGCATGTCATTTTGATTGCTGGTAAGTTGACTGGTTGGATCGTTTTCTATGTAAACACTGGACAGACATTCGTTTAGTATACTGAAACATACCCAACCATTTTACACTGTACTTGGCAATGTGGGCACGGTGAATACAATTCAAATAATAGCGAAGAATACGTGTTGTCGCTATTCTAAAGTATACAATGACAATCACAGTAGGCATCTGAAATGTCAACATCCATTGGACCGTCTCCTCGTTAGCCATTTCCTATCTGAGGAGCATTAAGACTTGGTTGGGATTTGGGACTTCCTGTAATAATAAACTATTGAATATTTCCATGCCAGGTATGGTGCTTGACAGAATATAATGTACTAAGTCATTAGCAGTCGCCTAATTTCAATTCATTTATGCTACATATTCAAGGTCCCATACAATCTGAAAGAGGCCCAAGGGCCACTTTTGTCAACTTGAAATATAAGCAACGATTTTCATTTTTTTATCTTCAAAATAGAAATTTAATTCCAATTATTGTGGGTTTTTGTTTGACGAGTGTGGGCTCCCCGTCCATAGTGGTTAGCCCGTGGCAGGAGCGCCGTCCCAGTAACCCACATACAGAGTGATCTGTGTAGACCCTACGGCTAACTCAAAACTCACGTCAAGGGAACAAACAACTCCACCCCCGCTTCAAGAAGAAGAAGAAGGGAAAAAAACGAGTGGTGAGTGCCCGGTGCCAGTTCTTGTTGGGGTACTAGTTGTTGACATACCGGGGATAAAATATGAAGCAATTTTCCTTCCGATTAATAAAAGGGTGTTGACGGATGGCGGGAAGGGTAATCGAGGGGCTGCAGATGAATGCTGAATGAGACATCACCGACTTCAAAGATGACCGAAATCCAACATGTTGGAGAACATTCCGCCTCCGGGCACTGCAGGAGCGGGCTGACACACCGCCGCGCTGCCCGGTCGAAATTCGTCTCGAGCGACAGCCTCTTTTTTAAGGGTGTCTCTCCATCCTCGGTTTCGTGGCGGGTGACGGAATGGTGTTTAAAGTGAAACCGTCCTCGGAAGCGGTCAAGCCGAAGCACTGGTCCGAACGAGGAGTCGCACGAATCAATTAATGTATCGGTTTTCTTGTGTTATACTGCTGTAATGTCATCGCTGATGTTGACCTATCCTTTAAAGCTGACCCATTTCTTGACTATCTCAAGGGTTGTCGAAATGGAGAGAAATCGGCCCTGGCGTGTCACGTGGGGGCGAGGAGGGGGTAAGTTACCCCAGAAGATATTATTTTCGAAAAAGAAATAGCCAAACCAGTAGAGACGGTACCATCACTTTTGGGGAGGGGGGTTACGAATTCTCCTACAGATGAAACAAAAATGGACTATCTTTTTTTTTTTTTCAAGAAAACAATTCCTCATTCCGCCAACCAAAGACCAGACAGGCAAGTTGACGTCCCCACGCACCCTGATATAGCTACTTTTATTGCCCTGCTGTAGTTCTATTTGGTATAGGCCTGGGCAAGTTAATTAATTGTATTTCCCCCAGGCCAATTCTGCGGTACTTGTCCTTTATATGTAAAAAAAAAAGTACCCGAGCCGGCAGTGCATAGTTTCATAGCAAAATTCCAGAGATTTCTCTTCCCTTAAGACACCTTGAATCTGATTTCATTTTGGCAACTTGTAGAAATATTAGTATAATAATAAGCAGCATCCCCCAAATGCATCTTACTGTTTACCTACCAAAATGAAGCTCCAAAAATATTCTTTCAGCTCTGAGTAATCTATACCTAATACGGCACACGTGTACGCGTGCACATCATAGACAGAAATTATCCCGCATTCGTGAGGTCGTGCATTTAATTCTGAGAATCCAACAGAAGCTATAGTCAAGTTG